GAGAGTGAGAACTATTGTCATTAACTCTCAAACGAATTTAGGCATCAGACAAGTCACGTTTAACCGTTTGATACGACCGTGGAACTGACGCACCGCCGTATATTTCTCATACTCGCCTTTGCTTCTTTCGTCTGTTCTTTTTTTTTGCTTTACCGGAATGGTCTATAAGCGTCACTAAGGAAACAGTTCAGGAAGCATTACTGTTCTTCTTTGGATGCGGTTTAAACTGAGTGAAATACCCTGTCATTACTAAAACGTTAGGAGGTGCTTGCCTATCCCGCCTCAGGCCCTTGGTTGCGATTTCAATCATGAACCTTTATGTTCTACCCGCTTTTCTTCCTTCTCCGTTAGTCGAAATTTACGATTCGAAGTCTGTTGAAAGGTGCCTACGCCTACATATGCAGAAGACCGTGAAAAGGGGTATTTCGCGTGGTTTTGCCCGCAGGGTTTGGGATGTTCCGTAGAGTGTTTAAAAAAAATAAAAAATTGGCATATGCTGGAATGGACTTTATTTGCAAGTTCGTGACTCGACCTGAACCTGTGCGAAATTTGAGACATCTCCGATGATAGGAACCATCCGCGCCTCTCCCGCAAAGAAATGTCTAAAATGTCGCACAGTCACAGTCACGATGACTTGGTGTCAAATAAAGCATTCCGGTAAAGCTGAAATGCAGAAGAATACAGGGAAGTAGGAAACGGAAGTCACCATGTTAAATCTTAGTGATTTCCTTTTTCTTCTTCCGCGCATTATTCTGAAATTCAGCTTTACCGGAATAGAGTACTCCGGGCCTCGGCTAGACCGGAAGGAGAAGAACAAAAATCGTCGGGCTGGTCGCGGGCGCGGGGAGGAGTGGGGTACTGGCCCCACCCTGCCCCGCTCCTCTCGGCGGCTGACGATTTTTGTTCTTCTCCTTCCGGTGTAGCCGAGCCCTGGAGTACCCTATGCTTTATTTCATACCGCCCTGATAGAGAGAGCCATTTACAACGCCGCCTCTAAATTTTAAATCATATTTGACGCTAGCAGGTATAAAATTCCACACAAAGTAACTTTTACCATATCTGAAAAGCGGTACTAACTTGGGCGGTTACGAGCGGATGGTTTCCCTCATCGGAAAGGTTTCAAATAAAGCATTCCGGTAAAGCTGAAATGGAGAAGAATGCGGGGAAGAAGAAAACGGACCTCGCCATGCTTTAACATGTGACTTCCGTTTTCTTGTTCCCTGCATTCTTCTGCATTTCAGCTTTCCTGGAATGATTTTTCTGGCACAAATTCGGATCGAGGCCTGAACTTTCAAATAAAGTCCATCCATTCAAACATGTCAATAAAGCATTCCGGTAAAGCTGAAATGCAGAAGAATACCGCATTCTTCTGCATTTCAGCTTTACCGGAATGCTTTATTTGTTTGGAACACCACAGTGTTCCGCCACAACACAATCGCAACCTAAGGGAAATAGATCGAGCAGTCATGCTTTTCTTCTTTAGGTTCCGGTTAGCTTCAAAGCCCCGCATCGAGGCAGCCTGGGATGCAAAGATGGCGTCCGAAAGCGAATCGGAGTCAGTGGGAGCAAGAGCTTCCCACAACCGCTTTCGGACGCCATGTAGGCCGCTGCCTGCCGCTTCCCCCACCTCAAGCTCCCGTGCTTCTCCTGCGCTCTCAACGTATCTCACCGCCAGCCCACCTGGTCACTTCAGTCGTCTACCGGAGCCGCAGCCATGGCCAGTAGAACCTCCAGCAAACCACTTCCCGTCGGCGGGCTCTACTGTCCGTGGACTTGGGGGATGTGTGTCCCAGAGAACCGAATGACAGAATCCATGGTGAGTTCTGATGACCGCCATATAAAGCATTCCGGTAAAACTCAATAGACCATTCCACCGACTGTGGAAAAAGAAAGAAAAGAATCAAAAACCACCGGAAACAGTATTGATAAACAGATCAAATCGTTGACTTTTTCTAGTTTTCTTGGCCAAGATAATTATTCTGGACTTGTTGGTGTGCCAAAGAGGTGTACACAAATGATCTACATACTAGTTTTCGGTACTGTTTCCGGTACTTTTTGATTCTTTTCTTTCTTCTTCCCCGTTCGGTGGAATGGTCTATTACAGAAGAATTCAGGGAAAAAGAAAACTTAGTCACCATGTTAAAGCATAGCGATTTCCGTTTTCTTCTTCCCCGCATTCTTCTGCTTTACAGCTTTAACGGAATGCATTGTAGGACTTGCGTGCTGCTTATCGGTAGTGTTTCCGGTACATTTAGAGTACTTATCTTCGCCTGTTCTCGATAGAAAAATGGGTTTCGGTAAAGCTGATGTCCAGGAGAATGAAGGGAATAAGGAAACTGAAGGTACTATGATACAGCATGGTGATTTTAGTTTCGTTGTTCTCCGCATTCTTCCTTTCTGCTTTACCGAAATGCTTTAAAGTCTACGCTATGTGTTCGCCAGATCATATCTCGCGTAACAGGGTTCGCAATATCGGTCTAATCGGTCTCACGGCAACTAACGTCCCCGCAGACACATAAGACTCTGTGGCCTGGAGATAAGGGTTGGGCCGAGGGCGAAACGAGATTTCGTGTACAACGGATTACCGATAAAGCATTCCGGTACGGCTGAAATGCGGAGGAATGAACAAGCGTGTATGTGGCCAAAACTTTGCGGCCAAAGCGCGCGCCCCGAAAATCAGCTTTAATGCATTCCGTTAAAGCTGAAATGCAGAAGAATGCAGGGAACAAGAAAACGGAAGTCACTATGTTAAAGCATAGCGATTTCCGGTTTCTTCGTCCCTGCATTTTTCTGCATTTCAGCTTTACCGGAATGCTTCATTGGTTGTTAATAGGGTATTCCAGGCTATCCAAAACGGAAGTAGGAAAAGAACAATCTTACTGACTCTTCTGTTTCCGTGATGGCTCTGATTGGTTGAGCTGATCACGTGTCACGACGGCGTTTCAGGTATGAAAAACCGTCAGGTCAGTTTCGAGCTCGCCTCCATATTTGAGAGGTTAGAATCGGGCCAAACTACCATGGCAATTTCTCATACTGAGCAGACGGAAACAGATTAATCGGTGAGTTTGTTCTTTTTCACTTCCGTTCTAGATAGCCTGGAACACCCTATTTACCGTTTTGTAGTCGTGATTTGTTTCGCAAACAACGACAAGGAGACGATCTTTTTACCAACTTTGGTACCTCACGGAGAGGCCGTCAGGGATCGCATACCCACACCGCGTGACGGGTTTTTGGCGGGTTTTGATCACCCCCTCCCCCCCTGTGGTGGTCTGTAGTGGTTCCGGGGACCCCCCCCCTCCCTCCCCCTCTCCATTTTCACGTGGTTTTCAGCATATGTGACGTATGGCGTTCTTACAACTACATAGAGCAATTTAACAAGAAGTGCATTTTTGCTGAGCAATTTAACAAGAAGTGCATTTTTGCTGATATTCAAAACTGAATTTAGTGGTGACTTTTCGATTAAACACCGTCAGATTTCAGTAAGTTATCACGCAATAAACGGATTTGTGTTAGTATTTTTCAAAAACATGCTTATTTGAGCAGGTAATTAATAGTCACGTGACTTGGCCGAAACACCCCCCTCCCCCCTGGTGGTGGTGAGTGGTGTTTTCACAGACCCCCCCCCCCCTCCCCCAAAATGCGTCACGTGGTGCGGGTACGATCCCTATGGAGGCCAGCCAAAACGCGCCACAATGATGCCACGACCTCTCTTATGACCCCTAAGGAGGGGTGTCCACGACCATACGACCAAGTCCTCCAGGTTGCCTACTGCACACGGGGCCAGCCACAACTCGCCACAACTGCCCCAACGCCAAAATATCAACATATATCTGTGTGGGTGGTCTGTCGCTGTACTGTAGAGCCTGAAACTACGTCACCTGGGTTGCCTACCGCACAGGGGTCCAGCCACAACTCGCCGCAACTGCCCCATCGCCGAAATACTTACATGTATCCGCATGTATCTATGTGGCTAGTCTGCGGCTGTACTCTCTAGGGCCTACGACCGCAGCCCCCGGGTTCCCTACTGTATAGTCGTCCCAGACAAACTTCTCGATTGGGCGGCCGATACGGTGCAGCATTTCTGAACGACACAGAAGAGCTAGGATGACTCTGTTCGCGCGAAAAGTTGCGTCCTATACAGGTCTAAGACGTCACCAAGTCTTAGGCTTCGAGCTCAATAACTGACGAGATATGGGCTAAAGACGCGTCGCCTCAGTCAAAATGTTTGGCTGGGACGACTATATAGGGGGCCAGCCACAACCCGCCACAACTGCCCCAACACCAAAATAGGGTATTGGTCTAGAGAGCTGCAGCGGAAGTAGAAGAACAAAAACGGAAGGTGTAGAGGCGCCCGCACTTCTCCCCGCCTGCCCCCCACTTCTCCCCGGGCGCAGCCCCACTCCGCCTAGTGGAGGAGAAGGGGAACGGCGCGGGCGCCTTTCCCCCTTCCGTTTTTGTTCTTCTACTTCCGTTTAGCGCTCTAGACCAATACCCTATACCGACATGTATATATATGGGGGGGTCTGCGGCTGCACACTAAAGCGAGTTGTGGCTGGCCCCCTGTGCAGTAGGCAACCCAGGGGCCACGGTCGTAGGCTCTAGAGAGTACAGCCGCAGACCATCCACATCATAGAGCCATGTCGGTATTCTGGCGACGTGGCAGTTGCGGCGAGTTGTGGCTAGACCCGTGTGCGGTAGGCAACCTCGGGGGACGCGAACGTATGGTCGTGGGGACATCCCTCGGGCGGGCCTACTTGGGGGTCGTGGCATCGTTGTGGCGCGTTGTGGCTGGCCTCCTTACGGGCTCGATAGCTATAGTCGGTCCGGTATAAGCTGATTTTCGGGAGGCGCGTTGTGGCCGCAAAGTTGTGGCCACAAACACGCTCGTGAGGAATGCGGGCATCAAGAAAACGGAAGTCACCATGTTAAAGCATGGCAATTTCCGTATTCTTCTTTAGCGCATTCTTCTGCATTTCAGCTTTACCGTTTCCCCATCGGGTTGGGCCGAGGTGGGACCAGGGGTCCGCAACTTATCAGTTTAGCTAAACGTTTGGTGATTATCTCGCGTTACTGACTGAGATACGGATGCCTAAAATAGATGGTACCGGCAGTGCCGGTTTAAAGAAGAATTAATAAAATCACCACCGGAAACAGTTCTAAAATAATGGCTTAAATCAATGAAAACTAAAATTGACAGTTACTAGAGATTTAATCGAGGTCATTCACGTCGAACTGCACTGTCAAATGACAAAAATATGCGCACTTTAGGTACTTGTTCCGGTCCCGACTTCCTCATTTCTTCTCAAAAAGCGCACTGTCGGAACGGTCTATTCGATCATTCGATAAGTTACGGACCCCTGGATGGGACGCTTTTGATGGGGTCGCTACCCCATCTCACAATCAGTTTGGCGGCAGAGCAGGTTGAACTTGGGGGTAGTTTTTAGCCCGCCCTTCTGCTTTGAAAAAGCTATCCAGCGGGCTTATGTGAACGACCTCGTGCCTGTCAGTCTGTTCCACTAGAAGGAGCTGTGCTAGAGACTTGAAATTTTCAGGATATCTTTAGGTCCTTTCCTAGAGAACGAAACGCCTACTGCAAATCCTGGCAACCACCCCTAAGGGTGTCAATGGGGGTATCCAAGGTTCAAAAATTCTCCCAATTCTTTTCTTCTAAGGGGTAACTCGTCAAAGTAGAACCCTTTGGGCAAAAATTTCGTCCGTTTCGCTTTATCTCTAACCGTTTAGGCGCTAGAGGGTCTTTTTTTGTCGAAAATAAGCTAAAAATTGCCATAGTGAACAATAAGTTGTAGAAAACGGCCTAAAAACCTCAAAATTGAAAAGAAACTCTCCCCCCACCTTCAAAAAACGTTTTCAAAGCAGAAGGGTGGGTTGTAGTCGCGGTGCTTCACCGTTGAGCCTTTGGGGCAAACTCAAAGACGACGGGTTTAAGCGGGCCGAACCGGGGCCGAAGCAGGCCCGCCACATCATTCGATCATGTTCTTCGTCACATCGCGTCACAGAAATGGTCGGGCCGCCGGGCCGCAGAACCGACCATCGCTGCCGGCAGGCCGAGCAGGCCCGGCCCGGCCCCTGCCGAACGGAGTTGCCGGCGGAGCGAAGCGGAGCTGGCAACTTCGTTAGGCGGAAGGGCGGGCCTGCTTGTTAGTTCTGGGCGGCGCCCCATTGAAGTACCCTATTACTCACTGCAATCACATTATTAACACTGTTTCTCTTCTCCTCATCATGGTACAAAGTTCAGTTGTTCATTATTCAAAATTTAATTGTTCACTTTTTCACACCGTGCTGCCGTGCCGCCATGTTGTTGTTGAGTGCTGCTGCCGCTCGACGCTCGACGCGTTGTCTGCTGGCGGCCGTTGAGCGTCGCCAGGGTTTGGCGCGTTTGCAGCAATGACGTCACTTGGCTTCGGCCGGCTGAGGGCTGCGTACGCGAGCGACATTTGCCGCGGCGCTCCGCGAAGGCGGCGCGCAGATGCGACGTACCCCCACAAATCTGACACGTCTTGGGCTGGCCATGGCACTGGATTAACGCATCTTGGCCATCGATTTTGAGGTAGCTTGGGATCGGAGACTTGACAAGCATATGCAGTTGACACGGTTTCCGTTCTCGATTCCGTTCAAAGGTCCATCCGTGAAAAGTTCCCAGTCGTGGCGAAGCACAGTACCGTACTCATTAAGTTTCTTCCCGACGTCTCCTGGCGGAACTTCAATAAAGCATTCCGGTTAAGCTTAGCTAAAATGCAGAAGAATGCGGGGAAGAAGAAAACGGAAATCGCTATGCTTTAACACGGTGACTTCCGTTTTCTTGTTCTCTGCATTCTTCTGCATTTCAGCTTTGCCCGAGGGGGCAGTAACTCCGGGAATCATGTGTACACCTGTCTGGGAATCATCAGGATAAAAATTGATCAAAATCAATAGAAATCGCTTAGAATAAGCGGGAAACTAGAGAAATAAGTACAAATCAGTCGAAATAAGGGTTTTATACCACTAAAACCCCCCGAAAAACCTATGTAATAATTATAAGCGGACGGGAATCACCGGGAATCAAGAATTTCGGGAATCATGTGTACATTTCAAAAGGGAGTTATTGCCCCCTCGGCTTTGCCGGAATGCTTTATTGGCAGGTTCCGAATAGATGGTTCCGGCAGTGCCCGTTTGAAGAAGAATTAATGAAATCACCACCGAAAACGTTAGTTCTAAAATTACGGCGTAAATCAGTGAAAACTACACTCTAAATGTAAAGGGACAATTTTGTCGGTAGATTGTAGTTTTTGTAAGAAAATTTGGGTTTAAAATTGAGAACTTTACTCCCAGTAGTTTTAATACCTTATCTCTCTTATCGTCGGAAATCGCTCTCGTCACGCCATTGATGTATCTTTTAAAAGTAAATCACGATTGTATTCACTGTCGCTGGTTCCGGCTCCAAGAACCGAAATACGGTCGCCTCAATAAAGCATTCCGGTAAAGCTGAAATGCAGAAGAATGCAGGGAACAAGATAGTTATTTCCGTTTTCTTCTGCCTCGCATTCTTCTGCATTTTAGCTTCACCGGAATGCTTTATCTGACCGTCGTCGGCTGACGGTCGGAGTATGAGAGAGACATCACAAGGGCCAGCGGGCGGTCAGCGCTGCTAGCCAACCGCCGACAAGAAAATGCTGGTGGTGGTGGACGGTCGGTCGCAGCCCAGGCGGCTGGCCCGCCCGGCCGGCCGGAGCGACCGTGCGTGCGAGCAGCGCGCGCAGCGACCGCCCGGCTCCCGGACGGTTGCGGACAGTCGAAATCTGCATCTTTGACGGTTCTTGGGCTGGTCTATCCGTTCGTCTGGCCACAAATGAGTAGCCATCTTTCCTCTGGGTCAAATTGTAGTTTTATTTATTACCAATAAGAGGGTATTTCATCCATGTCGCTGAATTTCGTATTTTTCTCCCCCCCCCCCGCAAAAAAAAAATAAATACATACCGAGCCTATGCACTTACAGTGCTTCATCATGACAGGTCTGCCCCCTTACGCCTGTCGCTAACAAAGTTAACTGCATTTTCGTTGTAAACTTACAAGAAAGATTTTAATGCCCAGCTGTTGCCGCACGGAGTTGCCTGCCCGTCGTGCACTTAAACATCTAAATCAGATTTGTATCGATCTTACAGACAAAACATTTGTACCTAGCGTAGGCAGAACCTCCCCACAGACAAACTTGTATCTTATGAGAAGGGCACAAGAACACATCTAACCTACGTATCAAAATGTTCAGTCCCCATTTGGAGTCCACTTCGTTCGGCGGAGGGGTTGGCCTGCTGCTTGTTACTATCCATTGTGAAAAATATCGTCGTAAATTTACAAAAAAAAATTGTAAATTCGAGTTATAATTTAAGTTGTAAATTTACGACAGCACACGTTTTACCCGCCAAGGGATTTGAAGTCGATACACACTGCATGTATTTTTACGATTGCAAATTGTAATTTTACAACTTTGTGTCAAGGAAAATTTTCCTGTAAACCTACATACTCTTTTTCACAGTGTCCCAAATGGATGCAATAGGGTATTTCAATGGAGCGCTGCCCGGAACTAAGAAGAACAAAACCGGATACAGAGAGCGGTGGTAGGAGCGCGCGCGCGCGGAGGAGCGG